CGGAAACTCCCATATGTTTGGTATGCCCGGAGCCTTTGCGAGCCAGGGTCTCCCGAAGCCGATGTGGCAGCCTGAGATGGTGTCATGTTCTTCTTATTTCGGTCCGGTCACGTTTAGTGTTTCATGGTGTTGCTTGTTTGTTTGTTTGTTTGTTTGTTTAGAAAGATCTCATTGTCGGTGTAGGTGCTTGCCATTGTTTCCGGCTTCATCAAAAGATTTGCCTCTGGTGCCGCATGTTGTGATTCTCATGTAACCGGCTCTTTACTTAGGGCTGCCTGCCAGCATAGGGCACAGGAGATTCACGTGCTCCTTGTTTCAGTTTATGGAATAGTATGCCCAGAATCCCTGATCTAATTGTTCTAATCATGGATCATATAAATCCACATTGAAATTAACGTTGAAGCCGAGCGTGACGTTCACTTGCAGGCGCTTAAGGTTCCGCCGGAAGTTCGTGACTCAAAGGCAGGGGAAGTTGCAATCCTTCTGTTGAGTCTCTCGGATGTCATTGAATGTCCCTCCCAAGGCTACGGATGTGTATGGTTACGTGTTTGTAGAGAGTATGCAGACTGCGTGAGATGAGTGTTTTTCCTACGGCCATGCGGCGCGTCCCCGTTTGCCGCTAGATGCCCGCGCCAACATAGCTAGTCGGTGATTTATAGCCAGCCGTCGCACCCCAACTTCAGACCGCAGCCTGTAAGCCTAACCCTGAGCGATCCTAAACCCCACAGTTTTTTGCCTGCATTCGAGCCTCCGGCTCAGCGCGGAAAGTCCTTCTCAAGCCCCCTCTTCTCTTCAAACTAAAGAGCCTCACTCTAAAACTCTAAACCCAATACCCTCCACCCGAATGACTTGGTCAGTCCATTCTTACCTTCGGCAACGGCGAGGATGACACGAAGTGCACCCGCGATCAATACACGGATACTCGCTGTTGCTTTTGGGAGCCGGCTAGGAGTTCAGGGTTGGATGTTATGCCTGAGATTATGCAATGGCTTGGCAGCCTTAAAGATGCTTGCATGTAGTCTACGCATGAAGAGATTTTATGTTACGTGTGGACGAAGGTACTTGCAAGGCTTCTTGCCGCAGCGAGCGCTCGCCGGGGCGCTTGGGCATTTGCGAAGGAGTTGATGTGCCAACAAGCTCTGGGTGCATGCCAACGAGAACGAAGCATCGGGGTTGATGGATCCGGGACAATGGGATCTACGACTGCAAGATCACACTCGGATCCTGAACATGAGTTCACCTCCTATATATTAGGAATATAGTATATAGGATTTAGGGTAGAGCTTACAGATCTCCGCCAAAAGGGTGGCTCTTTTTTATTTTTTCCTTGGGCCCTGCAATCTTCTCCGAGACGCCGTGGGGCAAACCGAAACCCTGACAAGCCGACGCTTGTCGGGTAACATAAGAGCCTTTATAATTAGAATCGGGTTTGTGGGTATATTATACTATAATTATGACCCTACTCTAATTATTGGTAGGCCCCTACATTACGTTCGGTAGTCAGTCGCTAGAGCGGTTTTTGTTACATGCAGCATTGCAACTGGGACTCATTGAGATGTTTCACGTCTTCTGCAACGCAACACCTGGGCAACACGCGGCAAACCGGGCAACAACTACCCCGACTGAAAAGCTCTGGGGGTTTGCCAAAGGCGCCTCACCAGGTGGACATCTGTAGCTGCCGTTGCTACCCTTTGCCACTAGCCGATCCAACATCCTAGAACCACAGGTCGATGACAACCGAGAGCCATGACAAAATCTAGAGAGCCCCATCGTTCACTATCCAACTCCATGGAAGAGACAGAACCTCGGCCCTTGACAGCCATCGAGGCTGCCGCAGGAGAGGCAGCTTGCGGGAAGGGAGTGAGGGAGCCAGTTCCTTACCCTAGGGCCTTGGGGCTTCTGGGTGTGGGGTTGGAGGCTTGCGAGGTTTCCTATGTTCAAGCACCCAGTATCGAGGATGTGGTTTCCAGTCCGTTAGTCAACCTTGGTTCAGGGTATTGTCATTTTACGTGGCCTGCCGAACCAATGCTCTTAACTTATGATTTAGACGCTTAGGTTCGCAAACAGAGGATCTGAAGGGATGCACGGTTCCAGGAGAGTCTGGAAGTTTGAAGAAAGTGTTTGGGTGCATTTGGACAGAAGTGGGCCAGGCTTCTTTAGGATCGTTATTGGTTCGAGTAACGTAGGGGCCTTAAATAATCACCTATGTTATTTTGGGGGTTCCTTATTATAGGGTTATGGTATGTTATACCCCAAAACCCTACCCTAATTATTATAGGCCCCTTCATTAAATCGAAACACGTGGCTTCGTGGACGAGCCTGTGGAGATCCCGACGATGTTTTTCAGCACGCCTGCCTGTTCTGTCCGACGACTCAAAGTCGACAGCTCCTCCTTAGTGGCTGAGTAGATAACCTTTAACCTTTTGGGGTTTAGGGTTTAGGGTTTATTTTATATGATCCTACCATAACTGAAAAGGTTAAGCTCTTTCGGGCTAGGGTACGCAGCCCCGAAGTCTTTCGTAAAAGGAAGTCGGCTTCGGCCTCGCGGGATTTCAGCTTTTGGGTTGTCTTGGACAAGCCTTGCGAGACCCTAACCCTAAGGCTCGAAGGACTCATATTCTAAGGCTTATCGGGCCCAAAGATCATACTATGTAAGGCTTTTGTGCTATTTTGAGCCTTAGGGCCTTAGGGTAATCAAACCCTACTGCCCTGAAAGCAGGCAGAATTGTTGTTGGCTCGCGGATGCTTTGCCCTGTGCGATGGTGCAGAGGCGCACCGTTGCATTTGCAACGCTGGTAAGCAAAGTGAGGTGGGCTATACTCATTGGAAGGGAGGAATGGAGGGCCTTATGAAGCAAGGGCTATCTTAAGTTATATTCCAGGTCGGACACTCGCACGCAGCCTGCTCTATGTCCGATAGTCGTTGTACGGTAACTCAGTTTGGGGTGACGATGCACCCAGCAGTGATTGCGGCAGCAGCGATTGCTGCAGGCCTGACGAACTGAAATCGAGTTCATGCAGGTAGGACCCAACACATGTTTTGTGCAACCCGGCTTGTCAGGAACGCAGATGCGAGATGGAGGACTCCTTCCCACCCTGCATCATCCCGAAATCGCGGAGGGGCTCAGCGGGACATTTTGCTTTCAGAAGCTGGGGCGTGAGAGTTTTCGCTGGAGGGCTTTTTCCCCCTTTTATGGGGGAGCGGAGGAATAAACACCTGGTACTTCTTCAAAGACATGTGGTATCTACCACAAATTCCGCTTGACAGAGCTTCTTTGAATCCTCATGGTGTTCGGCCATGTGAATGTTAGGCGCTGCAATCTGCAGCGCTTGATCGCCTCAGAACCCGAAACTCTTGCATCCCAAACCCTAAACACCAAACCCCAAACCCTAAACCCCTAAACCCTGGCTTGTCCGAGTTGTGAGAGTGTAAACCCCTAAACCCTAAACCGGACATAGAACCAGCTTGTTGAAGGACTTCGATGCGCCCCTGAAGGTGGCTGCAGCTCGTCAGGCGGACTCTTGGGGTGATCTCCGGTGAAGGGGCCCTTTCCGGGTTCTGGCATTTAGGGTTGAGGGATTTCGACAGGCGGAGTCCTCCTCTTCAAGCGCTTCAAACCTCCCAGAGCAGGCCATTTCCCAACACGGCAGACCAAAAATCAGGTTCCTTGAGCCGTTGTAGCCTTGTGCCGAGAGGGCTAGTTACGTTGTCTGCTGTCAGAGACCCTTGCCGGGTGAAGTTGCAGAAGTCCAGACCACAGGACTTTTTGGTACGCCAGGGGTCCTGGGAACATCTGACCTATGCCCGAGTGTCGTCGTTTTGCATACCACGCTTTGTTGTTTCGAAGGCCAGCAAGTAATCATCCGATTTCATGGTAAGAAGAAAGGGAGTACTTGACGGGTGGCCTGTGTCATCGGCAATTTGCCAATTTGCCAGGTCTACTGTTGTATTGTATTTTTGTATTGTCTTGTACCGCAAAGCTTGATTGTTTGATTTGCTTGCGGATGCGCACGTGCTGCGTAACATGCTGACAGCGTTTCAAGTTTGTAGGGTCACGTTGTAGACTCCCTTTGCCTGCTGAAATTGCCTGGTCATCCTTCTGGATGAAAACGAACACTTTTGAGACTCCGAGCAAGTCAGGCCGGTCCGATAACCCACAAGCCAAACGAGCCTGAGGCAGATCCGATAGAACCTGGATCGTCGGAAAGAGTTACGGGTTCCACCCCAGCCCATAAACTCCAAAACACCTGATTTTGCTTTTGCGCCGGTTGTGAGCGCAAAGGCCCCAAAGTCTGAATATGCTACACTGCAAACGCCCAATCCCTAAACCCTAAGCCCTTTGTGTGGAGCCTTGCCTGCCCTTGTGTGAGAGTGAGCCCCAAACCCTAAACCCCTAAAGCCCTAAACGTCGACAACCCCCCCCAAAAACAGGTGCCCATGCTGGCCGGAAGCCCAGATGTACCTCACGCATACACGGGGACCTAAATTCGGTTTAGGGTTTAGGGTTTAGGGTTTAGAGTCTGAGCGGTGTCTGCCTGTTTGGGCCGTTGTTGGTTAAGTTATAGACTGGGTGGATCTGGATCTTTGATCTTTCAACACTCAACGGGGTGTAGATTTGCAATATATCGACAGGGCTGATGGATTTGCGGTATTGGAACATGTAGTCTTGCTCTGATCTTAATGCTAAGCCTCCGAAACCTGTTTGACTCTTACCGCGAAAGTTTGACACCACAAGCAGGAGGTCAGATGTCGGGGCGTTGCCTGCTATCTTGCGGATCGGGCCAGGCTGAAGAATCAGCGCAATCCAGGAAAGTGGTGTGCAGAAGCAGCATCACAAACTTGTGGACAAGAGTATCGGGAGTGAGTGCTAAAAAATCTGTGATTGCCAGCACTAGCAGTAGCAACCACAGCACAATTTCAACTGTGTAGAATCTGAGCCTTGTATTCCCCCACAGGTGGCGAACCCTGATGTGGTGCGCCCAGATGGTGTGGCGAGTCCGATGCCCGGGAGGCCACCCTGATGCTTCGGATCTTAGGCTTTTGTGGTCACTCGGAGGCTGTCAGGGATGGAAGTGGGGCTTGTGGAGGTTAGAGGCTACCGCCGGGGGATTTGCGAGCAGGGTTCAGGTCTAGTCTAGGTTTGAGGTGTAAAGCCTGCAAGTTTCTATACCATTCCACCACTTCAGCGTCTTCAAGGCTCAGCCACGGAAATCGTTTGTGGACTCCAGACAAGAAGCTGACCACTTCACCCCTTCCCTCCAATCATCTCGGATTGTCACGTTCCCTGTGAGGCTGGCTCGCCGGTACAAGGAGCTCGGTGGGTCCTCAGCTCGATCTGGTTTAGGGTCCAGGATTATACCCTGGCTTTTAGGCTGTTCCCTTGGGGGTGTCCACATCTCAGGTGTGTCAACCTCCCCTGAATCTCCAAGCTTGGCAACGATCACCGTCTGCAGAATGCCTATGTTCTTTGTCGCGGGTACTTAGGCCGCAATACATAGCTCATGGGTTGCGCTCATGATTGTTGTCGCGATCAGTATCTGTGCCTAGCTCCTTGGATGCTTCCTCTAGATAAGGGCATCTCCCTGCTGAGGCCTGAGGCCTTCTTCGTTGGCAAGCCGGGCACTTGCCATGTGTGGGGTGGACTAGTCCCATCTTGTATAAAACCCGTAGAGGGCTCCATGTGTTGTGATATGTATCAAGATAACGGCATGTACATGTTCACTAGTGTATCTCTCATAGCAAGTATGCTTAACTATCTGTTCCTTGCTGCCGTGATAATTTAGCTTTTCAACTTTGGTCGTTATCTCGGTGGGTGAGGTCGTCTTATGTGTACCAGGATGAGTTCAGAAGTAGCAGCGGTGTGACTGCGAGGAGTCGCGTCATCTCCGTGGTTGTCGTCGTAGAAGCCGTCGTCGTCGTCGTCGTGATAGTAGTAGTAGTAGTAGTAGTAGTAGTAGTAACTAGTAGTAGTAGTAGTAGTAGTAGTAGTAGTAGTAGTAGTAGTAACTAGTAGTAGTAGTAGTAGTAGTAGTAGTAGACAGTAGTAGTGTTGTAGGGTAGTGCCAGTGACAGTGGCAGCGGCAGCGGCGTGGCAGTGGCAGCGTCAGCGGCAGGGGCAGAGGCGGTGGCAGGCAGCAGCGGTGGCAGTAGCAGTAGCGGCAGTCGTCGTCGTAGGAGCAGTTGCCAGAGTCTTCCGACTCACAGACATGGAAGCACCTGACTTGAGTTGGCACATAATCTGAACCCTGTATCTGTTCTCTGCCGAAATGCTCGGACATACTGCAGCCTGCGCCTGACAGCACTTCATCCTCACAAAAGCCTCCCATCATCCTCACTGCCTAGGCAGGCCCCACCTGAATTACAAACCATGGAGGTCCAACCTCAAAGCTAAAGCTGCCTCTGCAGAGAGACCTAATCCTTCAAATAGCTGAGGAGTGGACAGTAGTCGTTTCGCATAAGGTATTTGGCACTAACCTTTCACAGGGTATCTTGACAAGAACACATGCATCGTGGCCTCGGGAGGTTTCCGGAAAGGGCAGAGTCACATGCCTGTTGACACCCCCTTCAAGGAGAAGCCAGGGTGCACTGAATCGTGAAAGACCCTTCAATAGATCCTGGAACCGTTTCTTCGGTGGGCTGTGCTGTCTCTGTCTGAGACTGCTGAACTGGCATCTATTGCCAAGTCCAGCAATGAAACCACATTTCAGAATCCCAAGATCTTAAAAGAGAGGGCCCGCACTCTCAATCGTCCTCATCTCCATCGTCCCCCAGCACATATGCCGTCAGCGGAAGCACGAGCACCAAACATCCAAAGAGGATGCCGGCTATGTCGGTGTATTCCCAGTACGGGACCCCTGGACCCCGCAAGTACTCCATGCGCAGTTGGCTCATCTTGGACATGTTCGTCCAAGCACCAAGGCTTTCCACTTGGAAATCTGTGGCGCAGGGCGGGTCCATGTTGTCCACAACCTGTAACTCTGGCGGCACGCGATCTGCATTGAATATGTACAGAGAAAGGATCAGCAAGAGCCCAGAAACGTAGAGAGTCAAGGATCCCAGGATGCACAGACCTGCTCGGCGCCTGTCACACCGGAAGCGGGTGTACTGGTGGTGCTCCGAGAGGTGCATCGTAACGTACACTATCGCATAGAGACCGCAAAGCCAGGCCGCTGTCGCCACGAGCATCCACAGAGCCAGCAGACCCAGGCGAGTCTCCGCAATGGAAGCCAATCTCTCGGGCTCAAAAGCACACTCTGTCCCTTCTGAGCGGAGGGACTTGCACAAACGGCCACTTTGGGCCGCCGCCATTCCCAGTGACTTTTGCCACTCAGGGCACGGGCGGGTGGTGAAATCACTCCATGCTGTCGACTTGGGCCACTTCGGCGAGCAGTCTACAGCAGTATGACTACAGGAAGTGCAGCTTTCCACATCGGATGGCTGAGGAGTTTGCCTTCACATCCACGCCGTCGTCAGCAGGCTGGCCGTACTGCGGCCTTGGCTACCGAGCTGACCAGGTGCGATCGAGCTATTGAACCTCGCCGGCACCGCACAGCAGCCTTGTCAGCTGTGTGCCAGGCATGGCGTGTGTCCATGGCAAGCCTCAGACTCCCAGCTCAGGAGTTCTCTGCACGTACCGGCACTTGCAGAATATTGCAGCATACCAGCACCAAAGTCTATCGTTGAATGCTGGGCTTGATGGTCATGAGAACACAAGCTTGCAGAAACACGCACTGCACCTCCAGTGGGAGCGTAGCCGTAGCCCGGATAGAACCTGGCTCGTGTGCAGCAACTTGCACGAACATATCGGGTCTCATGGTGTCAACACTTCTTGCTGCACAATGTGAAGACCAGGAGGTGGTGGAGGAGGAGGAAGAGGAGGGCGAACGGCGGGTAATGCCGATAATGATGATGTTTCATGATGAGGGTGATGATGATGATGATGATGATGATGATGAGTAGGAGGATGATGATGTTGATGATGATGATGATTATTATGATGATGATTGTGATGGTGAAGATGACGACGATGATGATCATCATCATCATAATTATGATGATGAGGATGTTGGTGATGATGATGATGATGCTGATGCTGACGATGATGATAATGGTGGTGGTGGTGCTGATGAGGTGCTGATGATGATGATGATGGTGATGGTGATGATGATGGTGAGGTGATGGTGATGGTGATGGTGATGATGATGATGATGATGATGATGATGATGATGGTGATGGTGAGGGGGAGGAGGAGGAGGAGGAGGAGGAGGAGGAGGAGGGAACTGGTGATGGTGAAGACGACGGTGATGACGACAATATTGTAGATGATGAACGTTATGACGCCAATGACAACAATGCTGCTGATCTGCTTTAATAAGAGCATATTCGGTCAACCAACAAACTGCAAAGAACTGCGCTGCTGCTGCTGCTGCTGCTGCTGCTGCTGCTGCTGCTGCTGCTGCTGCTGCTGCTGCTGTTGCTGCTGCTGCTGCTGCTGACCCGCTCCCATTGCCACTCCTGCTGAAACTACCACTGCTACTACCACCACTACTGCTACAGTGCCACTGCCACTGCGACTCCGACTGCGACTGCCACCACTCCTCTGATGAAGGATCTTCACCGAACCGGCCAGGCAAGCGAGGGCACCGACGGTGTCATGCCATGGCCCTGGGGCTCGGAGTACTCCGCGGCGCCTGCTTTGAGGTTCAGGATTTGGGGTTTAGAGTTTAGTAGAGTGCTTTGGCGTTCCCAGTTGAAGGTTCAGCGTCAAGGATTACGGATTTCGGGCTATAAACATGCTGTAGAACGTGCACTGTATGACCACTCAGCACCTGCCGTCCCAACAATAGTCCCGTTCGTCCATGGCGGAAGGCATGCCGAATCACGCGAAATAAAACGATCTTGGGAATCTGAGGCACTGAACGGCAAAACGAGGAAGAACCCCTCCGAGCCTGAGTGTCGCCGCCGTCCTCCACCGTCGCGCCTCCAGGCACAAGGAAGCTACCGGATCCTCGACTCTGGTGTGTGAGCTTATTCACTGGGGCCGAAAGGTCTTGTAGAGCGCCGTGCTGCAATGCACCTACTGACCTTAACTCGCCATCCAACCAGCGCCAGCAGCCCCCCTATATGAACCAGACATCGCCTTTTCTTGTGCTTGTGACGGCTGCGGCGGCTCCTGAACAAGGTTTTGTAGCAGAAAAGGTCCTGACAATGAGCAAGAGCTGGTTGTAGCAAAGCGGTGTGCCTACTCCTCGAACCTCTCGGCGCGTCCTGGGGCTTTCGTGTATATATATATATATATAGAGAGAGAGAGAGAGATGGAGAGATATTTATTCATTCATTTATTTACTTATATTTATATCTATGCCTACATCTATACCTACATATACACACACATATACACAAAATATCGCACTCTCTACGACTCTAGGAGTGTGTGTGAGTATCTCCAGGACACCAATCATGAGGTCTGTCTGGCTTCCTCCGAACTGACATATCTAGGACTCCCAGGAAACTAGGTACCATTCATCTGCCGCATGTTCATCATGCGGCCGTTAAAATGTGAACGTGACTGTAACCGAAACCAGACACAGTGTCAGCGTGCGCGTGCTGAGCAGCGTGCCCCCATGGCGCTCAACCTGAAAGCAAAGCACCTAGAATGACGAATAAACGATCATGACGGTGAGCCGATGATGATGATGATGATGTTGGTGATGATGTTGATGATGGCGATGGTGATGGTGATGGTGACAATGATTTCGGGGCTCTTGAAATGGCTTCAAGTCTCTAGTGGAATCATGACAACACTTATTTGCTGGTGGAAACCGTGGCCTTGTCACGTGCAGCACACATCGATAGTCACGGTGCTGGTGATGATGATTCCACAGTGGCCATGATGACGTCAAAAACCATGACGAAAGTGAAAGAGCATGAGACAGAGATGACGGTGGCAGCTAGGCTTGATGGTGGCAGCAGCGATGATGATGGTCATGCTGAGGAAAAGGATAAGAATGATGGCGACGATGCGGAAAAGGTGTTGATGGCGAAGATACTGCTCATGACTACGATGACGATTGAGGTCACGTCCATGACATGTTGTGGGCCACGGTCGTGAACATGACACAGAAGAATCACTTCTGATGGTCACCATGACAATGGTGTCGATAAGGGTAGAAAAGAAAAATGAGGGTGAGAATGGTTTGCAAACAAGACGATGCTATCGGCAGGACGTCCAGTGAAACAGTTACGGCAATGCTGATGCTCAATTAGCATCGCCATCTCCCAGGAGCAGAGAAAGTACGGCACGAAGTTTCCAGGGTTGCGGCCGTTGCGTGTTCGAGCGTTCAGCAGCCAAGGGGGCAGGCTCTCTCTCGGACACCAGGTGAGGGAGTCAAGAGCTTTCGGTTTCGGGGTTGAGTCCAGGGCTTAGGACATTGGCTTCGAGCTGCTTTTCTGGACAAGATTCCTCCGATCTTCCTGGCCACTTCTGAAAAAACACAAACAGTTTTCAGATCTTAGTCCGCGCGCTGGCTCCGTTAGTTGCATGGGGCTACGTATCTCGTAGAGATATGTCCATCCATGATCTCATGTGCTGTGGCATGAGCCAAAAGGCTTCAGGCCAAAACTTCTTCAGCAATCCACACAGCTTTCCCTGCCCCCTACAACAGGAGCTCAACAACTGCTGAGTGAATGTTTGGCTTGGTCAGGCCTCACCAACGAAAACAGGGGTGGCGCACATGTGCTGCACGCTGCGCAGCACCAGGACGTGGTAGAAGGAGATTGGGCCATGTCCTGCGATTCGACAACATTTAGCGTGCAGACGGTGACTGAGCGGGTGGGACACGGTTGAACAATGTGGGGGTTTCCGAAAATAGGGGACCCTAATATAGCACCCTAAATAGTAGGACCCTTATTATAAGGACCCCAAAATAAGGTTATATAGTACCCTAAATAGTAGGACCCTTATTATAAGGACCCCAGAATAAGGTACCCCCAATTTTCTGAAACTCCCATGTGGGTAGTTCTCTAAATTAGCGTCCCTTTTAGGTCCCCAAAACAGTACGGCACCATTATAAAACGGACCTAAAAGGGACCCTAATTTGGAGAACTGCCCATGTGTTCTTATGGCTACCGTCGTCCGCGGTCCTTCCTGGCTGGGCTCCATGTCCGGCTCCATGGAGGAGACGAACTTAGAAACAGTTGCCATGAAGCGAATTTCAGGGTTTAGGGTTTAGGGTTTAGGGTTTCAGGGCTCGGGGTTCAGGATTGGATTGAGGGTTTGTAGTTTAGGGCCTTGAGCGTCAACCTTTCCTACACTGCCTTCATGTCCTGACTCCTGAATGCGCCACCCTGAACATTGAAAAGCGCTTGCACCAGGCTTCCGGCAGGAAGGGACAAATACGGATGAGGAGGCCAAAGGTGATATTTGGCCTCGACTCCCCATGTCACTGGAGACTCTATGCTGGACTGTAACCTCAAGTTCCCTAAACCCTAAAAACCCTAAAAACCCTAAAAACCCTAAAAACCATAAAAACGTTAAAAACCATAAACACCCTAAAAACCCTAAAAACCTAAACCCTAAACCCTCAACCGTTCTCTGGGCTATCCGGAGCCCAGGCCCAGCCCCTCATGGAAACTGCGTTGTCTCCACCCGCCTGCTTATTCTGCTCCTTCATGCCTTCCTCGCCCCCGCGCTCTGCCATGTCGGGGGCAATGTCCTGCAGCTTCCAGCTTGAATGGTGTGTTTTTTGATGGGGTCGTGCATGCTCCCTGTCGCAGCTTCCGGGCTAGGACAACGTAAATTAAGTTGGAATGGTGTGTTTAGGGTTTGGGGTGTTGGCGTGTTGGGGTTTAGGGTTTAAGGAGTTGAAGCTCGACGAGCGCCGAAAGGAATCATCGCCCGAAGGGATGCATCAACAATGCCAGTGCACATTGCACTCATTGCACTCATCCTGCCAACGAGAGCACCGACAAAGGATTCAACTTTCATAGCGGTAGCGTAATACACGATCAATAGATACCGTAGGCTGTGACCATAGAAAATCATAGCTCACAAAGAGCCTAGCTGATATCTTCCTGGAATACTCAACCCTGAACCCTAGCTTACTAATTAAACTCTAAACCCTAAACCCTGAGAGACTATGATGCAGCAACACAAAAGGGCAGATCCCTCCACTCTGCTCACGGCCCCCTCGGGGCTGTCCGGGTGGTAGGCCGACAGGACGCCCTGAGACCTCGGTGCCCCAAGAGTTGCGAGTTCATTTAGTAGGACCGTAGAACATTGCAGGGTTTAGGGTTCAGGGTTTAGGGTCTAGGGTTTAGGGTTTAGGGTCTACTAAATGACCCCCAAAAAAAAATGTTCGGATCTATGATCGAGCCCTCTCCTACTTCCGTCCTTTAGCGGCCGGAAGGCTCATGGAAACTACGCATGTCTTCCAGACGTCCACGAGGCCGAGCACGATTACCCGATGCTAGAAACGCCCTCAAGGGATGTCGCCCCGGCACAAGCCGATGCGGCTGCCGTACTGCACGGAACCACCTGACCAATCTAAACAAGAGTTTTGGGGGTTCCTTATTAGAGTTATAATATCATTATTGAATCAAACGACTCGCCCCGTCTATCTAAATCGCAGCAGTTCAGTCTTGTGGGCGTTGCCCGCCCTTGCCTGACTCTGAAAATCGCCCGGATGCTCGAAGCTCCCTGAGCGTCGCACACGAAGAAGTCTGAGATCACTGAATTCTCCGAGAGGGCACCCATGTAGACAGCCTGCCGTCCACATGAACGGATTTCGCATGAGTTCTGGCACAGGATGGTGACAGAGTGATGTGGGCCGCTGCCGCTGCCCACGGCGCCGGCGACGACAAGGACGACGACGACGACGACTGCTACCACGAGTCATAACCACCACACGGTCATCGTCGTCGTCATCATAATCAGCATCCTCACCGCTGGTATCATGATTTTCAACGCGACAGCTATCGCCATGTGCGTCAGCATCAGAAACACCGTCAGCATCACCGTCACCATCGCCACCAGCATCATGATCGCCATGGCAATGATCACAACCAGCATCATCATATTATTACTATTCATATTCTTCATCATCTTCATCATCATCATCATCATCGTTATTCCTACCACCAGATCCCCACGGACCTGTTGCACCCGCTGCTGGTCCTCTGCCACTGACTGCAGGAGTGCACTGGCAGCAGGGCTTCGGGTTGTCATTTTCGGCTTGGGTCTTTCTGCGAAACGGGTTGAGAGGTTTAGGCATTTGTTGGCACGGGCTTGGGGCTTTGCGGGTTTAGGGTTGGGGACTTCGGGTATTACAGGCTGAGGGGTTTTGAGCTGTTGAGGGGGTTGGGGGTTTGGGGTTTTAGAGTGTAACGGTTAAGTGTTCAGGCATTGCCTCCTAGCGGGCTCAGGAGTTTGCTGTTGTTTAAAGTACTTGGCACCAGATCCCAGCAACAGATGTACCGCGCTTCAAGGGGAGACGCAGCAGCGTCATGACGAGGACGCTGATGATGGGGATCGTGATTCTAGTGATACTAAATATCATGATGGGGTTGTGCTTATGATAGCGGCCGTCACTGTGATGGTGATGACGATGATGGTGATGATGATGATGATAATGATGATGATAATGATGATGATGACGGTGATGATGATGATGATGATGATGAAGAAGAAGATGATGATCATGATGATGATGATGATGACGATGATGATGATGATGAAGACGAAGAAGATGAGATGATGGTGCTGGTGCTGGTGCTTGTGGTGCTGGTG